TGTGGCCTGGGCAGTAAGTTCTGCCGGGGCCAGTGCCAGGGCTTATTTCTGTGTTTCTAGCAGGTGGAAACCACAACTGTTACAACAAGATTAAGTGGCTTTCTGAGGATGCTTGCAGACCGGCTGGAGGGCACCAAAGAACTGCTTTCATCAGACATGAAGAAGGATTTTGTTATGAATAGACTACCACCTTACCATGTAGGGGATGGGCCAGAGCTTTCAACACCAGGTACAGCTTACTGTTTTCTTCTAGGTGGCTCAGGGCTAAGGTGGGATATTCTCAAGCTTTCCTGGATGGGCTCTTCTTTCAGCAGATAGAAAGTACAAAGCATTTACTATTAACCTGGACCTAGGCCTATCTAGAGTGTGTTGTGGTTGGACTGTACTGCACTCAACCTTTAGCATACTGCTGCTCACCAGTTATTTGCAGAAAACTTGCATCCCAGCATAATAGGAAATAAAAGCCCTATTATTTTGAGAGAGAAACATGTATATTTATGGGCACCCTGGTATTTATTATCTTCAGTTTTAAGAACTTCAGCATTGAGATAATCTTGCTGGGATTAGCTGGGGGATGGGTAAAATGTTGCCATCAGCAGGTGAAAACATAAGAATACCTCAGGTCCTAGGTGACTGATTTTGTGGCAGATTTAGGCTGTGAATGACATAACACACTTCTGGATGTTTCCATCCTACAGCCAAAGACCACCAAGACCATACTCCTGTACTCAGGCAAAGTTGGGTTCATTGACTTATTGCAACGAGGAAGACCATACACCATTGCAAACTGTGGGGCATCTCAGTAAGAAGGTGTTAGAAAGGATTTAACAGCATCTGGGCTTGTGTTAGGTGGCTTTGGGAGGGTTCAAGGAAGCAGGACTTGGCTGTGGATCAGATACTATCAGGAGGTGGGGGTGATTCTATGATCTCAGTAAATCTTATCTAGAAGGTTTGTTGTTGGGTGCCATTGAGTCGATTCCGACTCATAGCAATCCTACGTAATGGAGTAAAACTGCCCCATAGGATTTTCTAGGCTATAATCTTTACCATGTGCGGGATGGAGGCCTTTTCTCCCATGGAGCCCCTGGGTGGGTTCGAGCCGCCAGCCTTCTGGTTAGCAGCTGAGCACTTAACCATTGCACAAGCAAGGCTCCTCATCTAGAAGGTAGGAGGAATGAAATGAGGCTAAAGCTGTAGTTGGCAAAGCAGTAGCAGTCACTCATATTAGCCAGGATAGGAGGATGTTGGATCGTTTTTATAGTTTGGA